TTTTTTTTTTACAGCCTCGCAAAAGTTCAAAAATATGAACTTTTTTAATTTTCTCAAAAAATATTTAACTTACAAAAAAAAGTTTCATACAAAAGTTGTTTAAAAAACAATTATAAACAAACAAATTATTTTATAGTTTTATATCATATCACAGCTGGCCTCACAATTTCATACTGAATTTGAAAACTATAATTAGTCTCTATTTATATATTATATTTTAAAATCAAAGTACTACTAATCAGAATATAATTAAAGAAATAAGAGTTGATGTTGCTTTTGGAATAATCCACCAATTTCTCTAAATGAAACACTATCTACAGATTTGCATCGAAGCGTTTCTTATGATAGTGATTTTAATCACTGTCAGATATCATAATACTTGATCCAACTATGCCACGTCNTTGTCAGATATCATAATACTTGATCCAACTATGCCACGTCACCACTGTACCGCGACCCCCCTGTGCTGGGTTTTTTTTTTATATCTGACCCTTTATTTGCCCACAGGGGGGGATTTAAAATGACAACTTAAATTTTGAAAGTGTTCCGGAAAGTCTGACACTTTTATATATATCTTAAATTAAAGCTAATGTAATTTACTTTATTATGCAAAAAAAAATTTCGGACTTCATTTTATCTTCACGGTGAAAATGGCTACCAAATGCCAATTTTGTTTGAAAATTCTCGATTTTATTTTTAACACGCTTATATTAGTTTCACTTGTATGTATGTATGTTTGTAACTCTCCAAACGCCACGCGTTATCGCATATTCCGTCGTCTAGACTAGACTGTCATAACGAATTCACCCCTAGCCACGCCTAGCTCACAACACGACGGCACACTATTCCTATAAAAATTTATTTTTAGTTATCGTACCCGTACACGCGTGCTTGTCATCAATATTATATATATATAAACAAATTTTTATTTTGACTGACCAATACCGCCCGCGTCTAATGCGCCTTACGTATATATATTTATATATTCCTACCACCGTTTATACCTCAGGTATAACGTTAGTCCGACCCGCCCGCCCACAAAATACGGTTATACCTAGTGCATGATACGTTTACGTACTTAAGTTGCATTATTTGTATATATATTCTAATTACTATTAAAATTTATATATTAACACGATTTATTCTAATTAAGAGATATAAAGTATTCATTCCGATTACGAGGGATGATTCCCGTATCGTCATTTTTCGTCACTACCTCCACGTTCCGGGAGTGGGTAATTTACGCGCCTGCTGCTTTCCTTGGATGTGGTAGCCGTTTCTCAGACTCCCTCNGCCGTTTCTTAGACTCCCTCTCCGGAATCGAACCTTGATTTCCCGTTACTCCCTACAACCATGATATTGATGTTAACTATTATCATAACATGAAACTAAAAAGTGAAAAATAAATATAGTTTTAAAAAACTAAAAAACACGCTTTTAAAGCACATCGAACTAAAAAGTTAAAAATAATTTTTAAAATAAGCTTAAAACAATAATGAACGAAAAATACTAGTATTATTGTGATAAAAGCGTCGGGCGCTCAATATACGAAAAATATGGCACAAAGCACCCACGCTTTTATCACAATAATACTAGTATTTTTCGTTCATTATTGTTTTAAGCTTATTTTAAAAATTATTTTTAACTTTTTAGTTCGATGTGCTTTAAAAGCGTGTTTTTTAGTTTTTTAAAACTATATTTATTTACATTTTTAACTTTATAATGCTATGATATATTGAAAAGTGTATGGATCAACACAATTTATTATAAGAAATAATATTTATATCCCTTTTTCATTTGACATACTTTATCTTAATCAGGATATTAATAAGGAAATAGCAGATCATATAGCTCTTGGTATAATCCATCAATTTTTAAAATTAATCACTATCTAAAGTTTGCATCGAAGCGTTTTTTATATAGTGATTTTAATCACTGTCAGATATCATTATACTTGACCCAACTAAGCCACGTCACCACTGTGCCGCGACCCCCCTGTGCTGGGTTTTTTTTTGTCGACAATGTATAATAATGACGACTGTTCGAGTTTTCTTATAGCAAAACACATTCTTAAATAAACACTACTACTACCGCCGCCGCCCCCGACGACGACGACGATAATAATTGCTGGAACATATATTCTAATGATTATAATATTATTATTATAATTGTAATACACTTATCGATTAATGTCATACATATTTTTGTCTGAATTATTACTCGTATCCCTCTTAATGTTATAAATAATTACTGTATTTAACAAGTTTAATTAAGTAATAGTCTCGACTGGACGGATTGAATTCTTGTTCCGTCAACGCATTTGAGACGGCAGAAGGTCTTAATTTTTACAAAGGCAACTGTTTTAAATCCTAATGACAAATATGTATAAACATAACACATTACATTACACTGAATTTTTTCACGCTATTATAAATAACGATTCAATTTATCAACTTGTATACTTAAGTCATTTTGCTCGCGATATACTATGTACTTGTGCGATTAATAACTGCCACTACCAACTCTGGTACAGCGGATAATACAGTAACAAACCGTATTTATAAAGACGTCAATAAAGATTTTATTCACTCTTTGATTAAGCATTAATAACGGATCGCTAAAACATTGCTTAAAAATTGTAAGGTTTCAGCCAAACAGAGGGCCTACTAATTACCCACTGCCCAGGGGGAACACTGGACAGTGACCTAGTAGCCGCGCCAAACAAGATAGTACTTGTCGACGGAGCTACTAGGTTTTGAGAAAAACAAATATTAATAAAAGAGAAAGGCCATGTATAACATAATAACATTTTTTCTTTTTAATTATTGAAAATTTTTAGCATATTATAGTTTTAAATTTATAGTCATGAGGAAAGGAAAAAAAAAACAAAAAAGAAGAAAAAGAGGTGCTCTATATAACAGTAATAATGGGTTTGAAAAGGGGGGTTTCATGTTGTACTTGATACTGTTGTTGATTGGAGATTGAAGAGTGATGGCCCACCACCGGCCATAGTTGCGCTTCACATCACCATCTCGACGTTTTGTTTAAAATAAAAAAACGGAGGACAAAAAAAAATACAACCTGGTTGACACCACAGTAGACGGCAGGTCGACTCGACGTTTATTTTAATAAAAAAAAACGGAGGACAAAAAAATACAGTAAACAGCCTGGTTGACTCCAAAGTAGACGGTAGGTCGACTCAACGTTTTATTTTATAAAAAAAAAAAACGGAGGACAAAAAAAAATACAAAAACGTGGTTTTCACAGAAACACAGTCAACTTGTCACCTCGGCAGTTTGGATGAGAAAAAAAAATGTTGTAGCGGCATTTGTGTAGTGACCGGTGATCGTGACGCCGGGTGTTGGTGGTGCCAACTTTGAACACGTTCATTGAGGGGACATTACAATATTGGTATAGGTGCACAGTGTACGGTCAGCTGATGATGACAGATATCGGACCGGTTGACAAGTGGAGGTTATCATATACAAAATTATTAAAATACTTTACACCTACTGCACACACATCTAATTGATAAGATTTAAATATAAAAAAAAACTCATATAAATTCTGCAACATTACAAAATNAAAAAAAACTCATATAAATTCTGCAACATTACAAAATATTCTGGTAAACGTATACAAACACTAGTATTTATTTTATTTTAAATTTAAAATCGAATGACAATGAATGATGTACATTTTACTGGTGCTGTCAATGACGATTTCGAGATTATGCTCGCTGAGGAAGACGTGTACTCAGGTAGGGGTAGCGGATTCACGCTAGCGCATATCGACGGACTCATGCTCAGCGTATACAAGTATACGCCCCTCGCCGGCTCATCATATATTCCGGTCCCACTCGAAATTTTCCATAGAAAGGCAATAATCAACCCACAAAACATCAATCAGTCCTGTTTCATTTTGGCGAGACACGTTGGGGTTAATAATAATACGCGTGTTAATCAAAAATATTTTAACGAGGAACACAGGTATGATTTCACAGGATTGACGTTCCCCACACTGTGTCCCAAATTAAAATATTTGAACTGCTTAACCCAAACGAGTCCGTCAACGTGTACGGCTTGAAACGGGACGACGTTAAGATGAAGTGGTCAGTGTATCCGCTAAGAGTCGCTGACCAAGAACAACAAAATCATTTTGACCTGTTGTACATCGGTGACTCTGACAAGTATCGACTGGTAATACGGGACTTATATATGAAGTGGACGTATCGTATCCAGAAGAGCTGCATGACGAGCACAACGACTTACCGTTCTTGCCTGGCAACGATGTACCAAAGAAACCAAACTCATGGCCACTTTGAAACCCAAACAATGGTACGTCGAACACTATGTCAACTTGAAACAGGCGATCGCACACGGACTGCAAGTCGATAAAGTATATATACTTTTAGCTATTAGCTATGATATTAATATACTTGTCACACAGGTGCACCGCGTTTTAGAGTTTCAACAAAGTGCTTGGTTGAAACCGTATATTGAGTTGAACACTGAAATGCGGAAACAAGCGGGAAATGCTTTTGAAATAGCGTTATTCAAATTAATGAATAATGCCGTCTTTGGTAAGTGCATGCTCAATGCTAAATCAGTTGTAGGTTATTTGATAAATTTTAACATTTTATAGGAAAAACCATGGAGAACATACGGAAGCGTACCCGCATTGAGCTAATCTCCAGTTCCAAACGTCTAAGCAAACTCGTAAACCAACCAACCTTCAACGACTGTATCAAATACGGCGAAAGCTTGTGCGCCGTCATAATGGACACAAAGATTGTCAAGTTTATCAAACCAATATACGTCGGTTTAGCAGTGCTTGACATTAGCAAGTCGCTAATGTACAAGTACTTCTACGACGTATTAAAACCTTATTATGGCGACGCAATTAGCCTGGTTTACATGGATACTGGCGAGTACAACCGTACAGTAGAAATATTTTTACAATATTTATATATTTTTAATTTATCTCAGACTCCTTCATATACCTCAGTCAGCGACTTCTACCAGGATTTAGCCGACAGCCCCGATTTACTGGTGTACGTGGACGCATCTAGCCTGCCCAAGGATCACCCTTGTTACTCGACCTCGAGGAAGAAGACGCCTGGTCTGTTTTCAGACGAGACCGGCGGCCTCACCCTCTTTGAGATCGCTGCACTTCGTTCAAAGTGCTATGCATTTGACATGGAAGGCAGCGAATTCATCAAGTCTAAGGGGATCCGCGGACATGTCGTCCGGAACCATCTGTCTTTGGACGATTACAAACGATGTTTGTTTGAAGACGATAACGATGGCGACGAAATTTGATCAACATTAGTTTTTATAATAGTAATAAGATTGTATAATTCTTTAAATATCCATATTGACAAATGTAAAATATATTGTATGCTAAACCGTGTAATTGAATTTATGATAAGGTTTTTTGTAAATATAAGTGTTGTATATATAGTTGTAAATATAGTTTTAAGATTTTTAATGTAATATTTTACTGAATTAAAATTGTAAATAAATGTAATTTAGAATTCATATTATAATAAATGCTTAATAAATATCTATTTAAAACAAATTTATTGAAACAAAAATAATTACCCACTTTGTATTTTGATGANTAGAATTGATATTATAATAAATGCTTAATTAATTAAAGTAATTACCCTCTATTTATTTCGATAATACCAACCAGATTATTATACAATAGGTATTAATAACCTATAGTAAATACTACACGTAATTTAGAAATATTTATTTATTTTACTATAATCATTAATATACATTTTATTTATGGAAAATATATTTATTGTACGAATACAAATGAGAATATTACAAAATTATCAAATCATGTTTTAAGCAAATTGCCTTGTATAAACTACACACGATCGGGTTGTTCATGTGTCGGATACAACACATTTTTGTAATAGAACTTAAATTGTACAGCGGTGGGCAGTCCAAATCCTCGACATTGACTATACGTTTTCCCGGTATGTACTTTTCCACTACTCGCTTTTTCACGGCTCCCTTCACGTAAATGGTCTCGCACCGCAACAGTTTCATGATTCTAGGCAACTCATTGTATTTAACGTCACCGCAACGAGTATCCATTCCATATAGGTATTTTTTTAACCAAAAGTTTGTTTTAGCATCGCCCTCGATACTTTTTGGATGTTTGAACATCCAATGAGCAAAATAAGTACAGTCTATGGCAATGACAGTCAATTCTTTGACCAAAAACGATCGGTCGGCTGCCACAATACCTTGTATATGGACAATCATTGAGGTGAGATATTGGTTTTCGGTATCCATGAATTGTGCTCTGGACCAAATCCTAACCATTTAACGAAGCATTGGTCCCCTCGTGTTCGCAAAACTCGTTCGACTAAATACATGTCCGGATAACTGGTCTTGTTCAGCTCTTCGATGTAAAACAAACCACGTATTGGATTTCCCTGATAGTCTTCTAGATAGTATGTTGGCGGTACTGTTTGCCTAACCTTGACTACGGTAAACAGTTCGGTGCTCCAGTTTGGTAAGTAACCCTTATCAAACACTGATTTATGTACACTGATCCGCACCTTGTCGCCCACACGAAATTTTACCGGTAAATTATCCGGTATTTGACGCAACTTGAACCGAACCAGGTCTGGGTTTTTACCACTTGCATCNCGAACCAGGTCTGGGTTTTTCACCGCTTGCACCGGTGTCATTCCGATTGTTCTATGTTTACGCACGTTATTGTAGTCGTGCAACAGCGCAGACAACCGATTCACCCATTTGTACGAGCCACGTGCACTAAAGTCACGCCACATTGCGTTTTTCAGCGTGCGGTTAAAACGTTCCACTAGACACGCTTTCATCATGGAGTAAGTAGAGTAATGATTGATTGCGTATTGTGACATCAGTTTTTGAAATTGTTTATTGTAAAATTCTTTACCATTGTCCGTTTGCAAAATCTTAGGATGACAACCATGTTTCAGTATTCTGTTCATGGCTACGGTAACATCGCCTGCCGTTTTATTTTTTAACGGGACGGCCCACGCGTATTTTGAAAATCCATCGACGCACATTAAAATATACCGATATCGTCGATCAGAGTATGCGCGCATTTCCACGAGGTCATCGTGCCATATATCATCGTGACCCTTGATATTTATCCGAGCACGGGTATACGTCCTGCGGGCCTGCCGGTGGAGTTCGTTAACAATGTTCTTATTCATAACGCCACTGGTATCTGTTCAATGTAACCGGATTTTTGCAGCTCTTCCAATATAGAAACAATTTCCGGTGAAACTCTAGTGTTGCCAGCCGACCGGGCTGATATCAATAAACGTAAACGTTCCACAAGCTCGTTGAGGTCGTCCCAGTACACGTAATCTATTTTCTTGTTGTTCAATCTCAATTGTAGATAATTTTGTCATCGCGTTCCCCTACCATTGCATTATGTTAGTTTACGTTGGATTTATTCTACCCTCCACGACACGCTGGTGGTAGCGGAAGGCGCCTCGTCCGAGGAGGCTGGATCTCGTGCGAACTGCGCGCTCAGCGCAGTCTCCGCCTGGATCCAGCAGAAGGGGAACGGACTTAGCCTCGCCCTGGACAAGACCGGAGCCGTCTTGTTCACGGGCAGGTACAAGTTCACTCCTCCACGGCTCGCCGTGCTGGGGGTGGAGATCCCGCTTAAGAACTCTATGACTTATCTGGGCCTTGTCATAGACAAACGTCTAAAGTTCAGGCCGCACATTACTCGTGAAGCTCAGCGAGCCCAGAAAGTCATGAATTGCCTGGCGGGACTTATGCCCAATCTGGGAGGACCGAGAGAGATGCGGCGCAGACTTTTAGTCAGCGTCGTACACTCGAATCTCCTGTACGGGTCTCCGGTTTGGGCGGATACTATGGAGTATTCGTCCAAAAACCGTGAAGCCCTGCTCAGGGTGCAGAGGCAGGCGGCGATCCGGACAGTTTCGGAGTACCGAACGGTGTCCGTAAGCGTCACTGCCGCCCGCCGACCTGCTCGCCGAGGAACGCGCCACCGGGCATAAGCTCCGCCGAGAACGCAACCGGTCCCTCGAACCCGAGGACCGGCTGGCGCTCAGGCGGATGACCATGCTCCGGTGGCGGACTCGCCTCTCGGAGGAAACGACGAGAGGCGAGTGGACCAGGTCCCTCATAGGACCCGATCGGCTTGACAGGTGGGTGGACCGGACTCACGGTGAGATAACTTATCGTCTCACCCAAGTGATGTCCGACCACGGCTGCTTTAACGAGTATTTACAACGTATTCGTAAAGCAGCCGCACCGACGTGCGACCACTGTTCGGATCACCCGGGAGAGGCTGACAGCGCTTTGCACACCCTCATCCGGTACAAGGCGTGGGCCCAGGAGCGGGACTCTTTGGAATCTCGACTAGAGTCCACGTTCCGAGTCGGGTCAATGATGGACCTGTTGTTGAGGAGCCGGAAGGCGTAGAGGCTCGTCCAGGCGTTCACTGAATCCGTCTTGTTAAAGAAGGAGGAAGCGGATCGCTTAAGTGTATGTTTTTGTTTGTGAGATCCGATTAACGGTAGGGGGGCACACCACGTTGCGAATCAGTACTTGATTAATTTCGGGCTTATTTACAACTTGGTGGTGTGAATTATTAATACGGCCTGAAGTAATGGCACACGTCAGTTCCAGAGCAGCCCATAATATTGCCGGTCGTGGAAAAAAAATTAACTTTTAAAAGTGTTCCGGAAATACTCACACTTTTATATATACCTTAAATTAAAGCTTATGTAATATACATTTTTATGAAAAAATTTCGAACTTTATTTTGTCTTCAGAGTGAAAATGGCTACCAAATGCTATTTTTGTATGAAAATTCTACATTTTATTTTTTACATTTTTTACTTTATAATGCTATAACTTATTGAAAATTGTATGGATCAACACAATTTTTTTATGAGAAATAAACTATATATTCCTTTTTCATTTGACAAACTTTATCTTAATCAGGATATTAATAAGGAGATAGCAGATCATGTTGATGAGTGTTACATCGAGATGTAGTTGGTTTTCTCTCTATGTTACCATTGTCGCAGTCATCTTAACGCTTCTTCTGTTATAAGCTTTATGGCGTTTGTGAGCTAGTAGTTTTTGTATTCGTTTTTACTGTAAAAAGAAAATATCACCTTTGCGATTGTCGTACTCTGTGCGCTCAGTTTATCGCCGTTGGGTCTATATATTTTCTGAGATACATCAAAATACCGCAGACAACATATTGTATACCTTGGTCAGATACTTGTATTCGACTTCAATGGATCTTTTCAATATTCAACATTATCATCAGCCATTTACTTAGCAGATAAGTATAATGCTTGTTCATTTATCTTTCTAAGACTCACTTGTATAATTTATTATTTATTTATATCATTGTCTTAGTGGCATTAGAATTAAATGACCCCCCTATCCACATTGGTTTATATAAGATTTTACATTTCTTGTATAATACATTTAATTGTTATAATTATATCTTGTGAAATTTATTCTACATTCAAACATACAGTCCACTCACCTTATTCTTTATTCTCGACATAAAAATTTAAGACAAAACAAAACCACGAACGTTAACGAACCCGCGTGAATACCACCGGGTGCTGCGTTCAAACAATAGCTAAGAATAAATAATAACAGACACACGCAAAAAAAACCAGCATAGTTGGGTCCAGTTTAGATGATATTTAACAGTGATTAAAATCAATATCATAAGAAACGCTTCGATGCAAATATGTAAATAGTGTTTAATTTTAAAAAAATGGTGGATTATTCCAAAAGAAACATGATCTCCTATATCCTTATTTATATCTTGATTAGTAGTTCTTAAATTTAAAAGTATAATATAAAAATAAATATTTATTTTAGCAATTAAATATAGTATAAAATTGTTATTTAGTAATTTAAATGAAAGTAGACTTCATTAAATAATCCTTACTGATACCAGTGGTGCCGAAGTCAGAAATAATAGGTTATATTATAATAGTCTTATAATAGTTTTGTAAATCAACATTTTTGTGTTTAGTTGAAGTTTAGACTTAAGTAGAGGGCGGAAGATATAAAGTCTAGCTTTAGCTTTTTTTCGTTTGTCCTTGAGGTTTTAACAAAAGTCACGTAAATAATTTTAAATTCTAATGGACGTCAAAGAATGGTAATAACACGAAATTGTTTTACAAAAATGATCAACTCCAGGGGTAGGGGATACTGTTGGTATAAAATTGATGAGGTTTGCAAAAGTATACTTAATAAAACCAAAAATCATTCTTCCCCGGACTTAATATTCGTTTGTCTGTTAAATCATTACCTTGAAGCCTTTTCATTTTCAATCGTCAACTCATCAAATTTTATTTAAATATAAAGACATTATTTAATTATACATTTAATTAATAGGTGTGAATAAAGATCTGCCATCGGGTGTTGGGAATCTGAATCCCAGAAACACTCGTTACGGACTGAGTCCATCGAGTGCACAGGAGGCCGTCGTCTTGGCACTAATTTGCGATCCGGAATCTAACAATACGGATACGGCTTGAAAAGTGACAGACCTATGACGAACATAAACTAACGCTATTGAGGATAATTATAAGGATTCTATAAAGAAAAGAAAATATTCAGAGAAATGTTTTAAATAAAGTATTCTAAGATAAAGCTTAAAGTTTTTTTTCAATTTACTAATTATTTATAATACTGATTATTTGATTATAAAATTTCATCAGCAAAATTAATAATTTCTAATCGCAATCATGATATTTATAATAAATTTTAATTATTTCTTTTTTTTTTTATATAGAATTAAAAGCAGTTCAAATTGATACCAGACACTTTTGGATAGAACAAATGGTTATGACGATATTTCATTTTTAATTTTAATTTTAATTTGGATTTTTTTAATAAAATATTTAATTTAAAGTTAATAAAAGTTCTATTATTGATTTTCTTGTTTAAGACGCATTCAACGATGTATAATATGTAAAGATTAGAAATAGCTACCATTTTTTTGTAGGTCAGTATTATTGGACAATTTGCGTATGTCTTTTTTTTTTTATATATTTCTAATGGACCTTAATCCAATCAAAAACTAAATATTAAAGTATACAATATACAAGTATATAACATCATATAATAATAATCTTAACATTTAAATTACCTTAAATTACATAGATTATTTTTAAGTTCATATACTATTTACAATTAAATCTATATTATATTTATCGGCTAATTTTGACATACGATAAAGGTGACGATAATACGATAATTAGACATCAACAAAATTGTTACAATTAGAAAAAAAGTACAATACATCGGTGCATTATAGAATGTTTTGTTATGATTTACCGTATTATTATTGAACCTAAACTGTTGCGAGCCTGTGTTCTGTAGAGCCGCAAACCAAACGATAACACTTAATTTATAAATAAACTTTTAATTTTGAATTGGAATTAGAAGTTTCAAAAATGTTATTTGACAAGTATAATTTTATTTTTATGCTGTATATGGTATATGAACATTTAACACAAAAATACTTCCATTGACTAAATAAATACGAATAAATAATAATAAAACAAGTATACATAAATAATAATTTTACATATATTATTAATAAACGTAAATACTCTATACATATAAATTAAAAGGAATAATGGTATAAGGCTTATAAGATTAAGTTATTTTTTTGTTTAATTGCGATTTTTATGATGTTGCTCACACGATTAATTTTCTTTTTTATGTTAATATGTTTTACTAGTAGCATATTTAGTCGGCGTAAAATAAAGCCAGAACCAGAACCAGAACCAGAACCAGAACCAGAGCCAGAACTAAAACCAGAACCAGAACCAATAGCAAATCCTGATGAAGTTAATAAATTTAATAATATTATTAATTCTATAGGATGGCATAGAATAATTGGTTTTACATTTAAAGGCAAAAATGGAGATTCAGTACCAATCAAGGAAATAGTCTGTGCATATCCTACTATCAATAATGTCAATAAAACCAAATTTGAAACAAAATCAAAGCCATATGCTTCAATGGTATTATTTAAAATTTATACAGATATGCTAAATCCTTTACGTGATTACTATAAAACTATGTCATACAAATATAAAAATTACCCAAATGAGAAATCTAAATTGACGAATTTGAAAAAATTAATCGAAATGTTTTCTACATTTAAACCACTAATGACTTGTATGATTAATGCATTAAATTATTTTGAATGTACTAATGACAATTTAGCATTCGATATTCTTGACGAATCATTATTATTAACTGACGAATTGACTACTATTAACAACTTTCATAATTCAGACAACACTCTAAATTATAAATTTATAAATAGCATACTTGAGAAAATTTATGATTTTGCTACAAAATACGGATATATTGAAACAATCAACATCAATGAATCTAAAATTGAACCCTTCTTAGAAAACTATATTACAGAAATGAAAAAACTACAAGATAATTCTTCGTATAATAATCATATTGACCCAAAATTAAACATGCATGTTAAAGATGGTGTTTTCTTATTGTGCAGAAATTTTGGATTTTAATATTAGGTGGTATAATACATAATATATTTTTTTCTTTATTGTTCTTCCTTACTTTGTAATTTACAAACAACTATCAATTAAAATATTATATTATACATGTATTTTGTAATCTAAATAATTTATTATTCACTAAAAAATATATTTAGATTCTTTATTTTAAATCATTTTAAAAATTCAGCCATTTAAGATTATAATTTTTGTTAATTAATGTTACACACAGAATAATTTTATTCATTATTTTTATTACTATTATAACTTTTTCTTTTTTTAATATTGTTATTAATTATTAACTATTTTAGACCACTACATATTTTGTTCAAATTATTTTTTTTTTTAATCAAACCTCAGTCTTTTGTAAATTATTTCTTTATACAAGTCATAAAATATGTATATAATTTTTTTTACAGGCAATTATTAAACTGTGATTCACGCAAATCTGTAAAAATATACAACATTATATGATTTTTTCATTATAAAAGTATATTATTTCTAATATTTTATAATATTAAAAAAAAAACATCCTATCCCTTTTTTACTTCCTTAAAGTTTTATCAACTAATATTTTTAAATAAAATACATAATAAAATGATTTTGCAATTGAATTATTCATTTATATATAAATGTGTTGTTAATTTTTAATTATTCAAAAATAACTAAAAAAAACCCAGCACAGTGGTGGCGTGGCAAAGTTGGGTCAAGTATAATAATATCTGACAGTGATTAAAATCACTATAAAAAAAACGCTTCTATGCAAACTTTAGATAGTGGTTAATTTAAAAAAAATGGTAGATTATACCAAGAGCTACATGATCTGCTATCTCCTTATTAATATTCTGATTAAGATAAAGTTTGTCAAATGAAAAAGGGATATAAATATTATTTCTCATAAAAATATTGTGTTGATCCATACACTTTTCAATAAGTTATAGCATTATAAAGTTAAAAATGTAAAAAATAAAGTAGAGAATTTTCATACAAAAATAGCATTTGGTTCCCATTTTCACCGTGAAGACAATATACAGTCCCAATTTTTTTTTTTGCCATCATAAAGTACATTAAATTAGCATTATATAATAAAAATTGATCACTTGTGGCTAATTATTTAAGTAGCTAATTAAATAGATCTTAAATTAGCATTAATTTAAGATCTATATAAAATTGTCTGACTTTACGGAACACTTTAAAAAGTTAAGATGGTTTCTCCTCCGTCGTGCTAGTTAGGTGAAGTTTGGCCATGGCTCTCCGCCGCCTCCACCTCACTAATCACTTCCATGGTTGGACCTAAAGGTCCCACCCTCGCCGAACCGCCCTTAGATGCGTTTCTTAATCTTTCCAATATGGAGATTTTTGGAGACGTATCTAGGAGGGTGACCTTCGTCAATATCGTACCAGAATCCAGACATGTTGCAGTAACATTTACTCCTTTCGATTCCATTTTCATAAGTGTGATATGATTTGAGGGAGTTGCCCTCATAGACAGTCCCTCCGGCCAGTGAGCGGCTAACTTCACTGGTTGCGTTGCCGTTTAACGTTCACACCCAAACGCTACCGCTTATTCGTCCATAAAGGTTTATTTCACAGCTACTCTGTATATATACGGGGTTAACAAGCGTTTGGGCGGCTCGCTGTCCGCGACCGCTTATTCGTCAATCCAAATTAATGGACTGCTTATTTCGTGACTAACCTGCAGGCCGTTCCTCTATCCGCAACCTGAGAACGCGCCCGATTCCCCGAGCTAGGGAAACTGCGCTCGTGCCGACGTTTCGTAGCCCCGTAGAGCCCGATCACACCGACACTGTAGCGCAGCGCAACGGGGCATTATGGTATCCAAAACCCACAGAACCAAGGCTGGAGGAGTACCCTGAAGGTTACCGAAGTGGATAGTGGAATAGGACGTCGTAGGGGCGTTGATCACTATCCTCTCAAAAATGGGAGCAACGGCGCCCGCCGGTTCGGTGTTAGTCCGACTGCACGGGAATGGCAAAGGCCACTACTCGTGGTACGAGGTGCCCATTAGGGCTGCGCAACCGCTGGTCGGGCTGACACGGCTCCGGGCGGGATGGGGCACGTGCTGAATCTGGGTCCCAAAGGACAAGGGACCGCGCTGCTACTGGTGCCTCGAAAGGGGCCACGTTCAGACGGCCTGTAGCTGTCCCGACCGGACCAAGGCAGAGGGCCACAGGGCCAAGGACTGTCCCAAGAAGGTGGGAGGGCCGTAGAAGCCTACATAAGGTATCTCCTGTCCTCCTCACTATTTGTGTGTTCTGTGTTTTGTGAATTTTTTATGCTACCCCATAACAAAGTCCTACCCCCACCTCCACGTCGTGCGGCCTGGGCAACGGATCCCACTCTGAGGTCCGGCTAACGGGGGAGGCCACGTCGTGTTGTGACTCAGCTCTTGATTAACTTCGGGCTGAGGCACAACACGGCGGTGTGAGTTTTAATACGACACTGGGCGCCCTGAAGCAATACCTCACGGTAGCGATCGAGGGAAACTGTGTAACGGGCGGGTGGCTTTGCTACCATCGAGGAGATGGTGGATGACTGGTAAGGCGCGCGTGATCGTTTTTGTGACGACATGTCGCTGACCCAATCGGAATTTACCAGATGAAACGGCTGGCTCCACTGCGTGGAGACTGGAGAATCGTCATTGGACTCGTTCCCGTGTGGCCGATTCCGGACGGCCGAAGCTTTCCAGAGTTCAGTGTCCACGGTGCTAAAGCTAATGAAGAAGAACCTTGACGGTGGCCGTCCGTTTGCTCAGGAAAGGGTCAGGGAATATGATCCTCTAGAAGGTATCGATGAGCCCGAGCAGAGAGCGGAGCTCATCGTTAAATGCATAGCCAGCCGCCGAGAAGAAGCCTCTTTTTTTTAAAGTTTTCACTTGAAACAATATGATTTATTGAAAAATTGTCTACTAAAACTAAAATTCAAAATTATACGTGATTTTTAAGACTTTAAGAATTATCTACTTCTTTGGCATGAGCTAAATCAATTATTAATTATAGAATTTTAATTTGAGGAGGAATTTATCATTTAAAACCAACTTTAGGTAAAAAAAATTGTTAAAATATAAATAATCGTTTTTTAATAGTTTTGCTATCTTTAAAAGACATTTTTATTTATTAAATTTTTATCAAAATTATTTTAATTTTCAATTTAGTCATATTGTTATACTTAAATTAACGTCCACAATGTTTTGAAAAATCTAATTACTTTTGATTAAGCAAATACTTTGTGTTACTTTTTACAGATATGGACTATGTTAAGAGCATATTTATTATTATTTGTGTCTAATAAAGAAAATTAAAATTCATTTTTTTTCTCTGGATTAATAGATATTAGATACTATAGTAAATTTTGCATAAAATTATTTTAGAGTTTTATTTAATTTTAAACATTTAATTTAGCAAATATGAATCTTTTGTGAATAATAGAATAATATTCTTGTTTTTGAAATGCTTTAATATTTGTTATATACATCTGATTAAATTTTGTGTTTTTTATATAAATTATACATCTAAATGTTTTTCATGAAAAGCCAAAGTTTAATAAAAATTAATCATGCTACAATAAATCATTTATATCAATAGATATATAAATTTTATACTGCATATTTATAGTTTGTAAAATAAAAATTTATACATTACCTTTAACTTTTGTTCAAAGCCATCCCTATGGAAGCGTTGGTGATAACACATCTCTCAATAAACATTATTTTATAATTTTCATCACGTACTAAAAAAAATTTCAGTTATTAAAAATCATTTTAATTTTATATTTCAAAAATTAAAAACACTATTAATTATATATTATCTATACATAACATACTGGAAACTTGCCGTTTTTTAGCTGTTAAGTTTATTTTTGTAATAATACCATTTTATTTGCTTGCCAGAAAAAATAGGTACTTTGTCTAGTAAATTAATGAATTAAAAACTTTGACAAAAATAAAACGTATATCAATCTGTATAATTCACACTTTTAAAAACAGTCGAGGAAGATGTTAGCTTGTTATTAAAAGCTTTAGTTTTGTTTGATGTGTAAAATAGTGCGAAAATATGAATAAAGGAAATATGAGTTGATTGGAATAATCCAAAAATTCATAAAATTTTATATGCATAAACAATAAATATTAATTATATTAATACTATAATATTTAAAACAAATATATTTTTATAATTAACTTTGTAATTTTTATATGTTTTTTAATTAATAGTAATATTTTTTCATTTCGTTAATATTTGGTTATTACTAAAAAATTTATTTTTTTTCCTTAACCAAATTTTATTGAAATATATCCCCGCACCATAAGAAATTTCCATGCGCACACGTACCAGTGATTTTAATTAGATTTTTTTTATTTTATAAGGCAGTTATATATGTATATTGTCATTTAAAGAAATAAAGTTGTAAAAAAATCATAATTCGATTACCAATTATAATGATTACTTGCACATTTTCTTACTTACTTACTCATTTCATAAAATGATCAATATTTGAGCTTATATTGTAATCATAAAGTAATTCATTTTATGATATTTTTAATATACTAGAATAAGATTTATTGTGTTACACTAAATTGGAAACAACATTTGATATTTTGCATATAGTCAAAATCGTATTGAATTTAGTAACTGATAACATTTTTTTTTTTGATTACATAATTAGTCATATTTTTAAATATCTAAAATGGAAAATTTAAATAAAAACCAATAGTTAATAATTATTAGTATTTATTGCTTAGTTATTATAAAAAAATTGATACCTACTCTAAAACTGAAATAAATCATATCATTATTAATTAAGCACTTATAAAAAATATAATTAATAATTGTTGAATAGAAGGAGTTAAAAATTATATTTAACTACTATTTAAACAAAAGTATTACAACAATTTAATTTAGTAAAAAGTAAAAAACAACAATTTAACATAAGACAGTAATGACGATGCAACGAAAATGACAATACCACTGACCATCGCCTGAGAGTCTTAAAAAAACAATTCATATAGCAGCTTGCTATTTTGTAAAACGACATCAGCATAAATGATAAATGTTTTACTTAACAATAAATTATTACACTAAATTTTATTTTATTTTCAACAATAGTAAAATATAACTAAAACGATTTATTATAGTGCGAAAAATACAAGTTATAATGTAAATATTTTTCTCATTTATGCGATTAAATTTTCTGACTAGCTAACGTGGGGTTTTTATCCCAATATAAAAAAATAGGGCATATGGAGCTAATAGATATTGTAAAATCAAATCAATTAGTTAAATTTATGCACTAAAATGGGACTAAAAAAAAATTTCACAACATGGTCAAAACTGAACTAGTAACAAAATAATTTTTATAGTAGCCCTGACTAACTTAGGGCGAGTCCGGTAAAAATTTCAGGTCTCAAATCGACAAACATTATCGGCAGTT